GTGCTGGGGGATCGAACCGCGGTCCCTCTGCTTTGCTTAGCTTAGCTTGTTGTACGTAGGTGCTTTAGACCACTGAGCCATCTCACCAGCCCCATACTCCTTTTTTTAGCTAAGGGTAGGTAGTGCTGGGGACTCAGTGTAGGGCCGTGTGCATGCTGACCACGCTTGCAGTCGTGGAGCTAACCCAACCACTCACATTCTTCTTTTTGAAACACTGTTTACAGAAAGCCTCAGTCTATTTCAGTCACTGTGAGAGACTTTGCTGACATACTCTGAGATGTTCTGCCAACAGTGTAATTTGTTTTTTATTACACATGGCTTCCCTGCATCCAGCAAAGGTCTGGACTAAGTTCCATTCATGGCTCCAAGATCATGGTTATAATTACCAATTTTGTGCAGATCCCATAGTCTGTTGAATCATTCCAGACTGTTTGATCTGACTTCCTCTTAATGTCATTTTGTTTTAAATGCTAGCAAGCCTAAATGCAGCAAACCTAATACATTAGGTGAGTCACCACATTTTATGATTCTGAGAAAAAGGAACAGAGGGAAAAAGAACAGTAATGTAAAGGAATTACAGTGCAAAGAAAGAAGTAAGACTCATTATTGGCTCAGATTCCTTAATGCATTTCTTCACTGTGCATACACACACCCCTTCATGTGGTTGCCGTATACTGTATCAAAGAGCCAGGTATGATGGTGCACACCTGTAATGCCAGCTCTCGCAAGGCTGAGGCAGGGTTTCCATGAGTCCAAGGCCAGCCTGGACTACATAGTGAGACCCTATCTCAGAAAATCATACACATATAAAGAAGATGTAGTTGACCAGAATTAAAATAAATCTAGGGGCTGGAGAGATGGCTCAGTGGTCTAAAGCACCTACTTAGAACAAGCTTAGCAAAGCATCAGGGACCGCGGTTCGATCCCCCAGCACCACATGCCAGCCAGCCCCGCCCCCTGGTGGGCTGAGCTGGCCACACACACACACCACACACACACACACACTCTCTCTCTCTCTCTCTCTCTCTCTCTCTCTCTCTCTAGTAAATAAATAAATAAATAAATAAAAATTTAAAAAAAAAAAAAATAAATCTAGTTACTGCTTCTGGAATTCTTGGTTCCTTAAGGGAAAGTGAGACCCTAAGAAACCAAATGGAAGAGAGATAGCCTTGTGCTGTTCCCCAAGGGACTGGATTAGACCCAAATGCCAGCGAAGCCAGTGTTGTGAGCTCAATAACTTACCAGTAATCAGTTCTGGGGTTGATCAGGTAGCTCAGTGGGAGAGCCTATGCTTAGCATGAAAGAGGCTCTACGTATACACAACTTTAGTGACTTTATATTCAGCAAGTGGTTTCTCGATGCTTTTTTGTACACCAAACACTCTTCTAGATTCTAAGTCCTTTCATCTTCACTGCCCATCATTATGTTAAGAACAAGTCACTTTTGTAAGCACTGGTGAATCCTAAGAAGTTTCCTTCTCGTAAGAAAATAGATTGTAGGGAGCACAAGTCTAGAATTGGAGTCCTGTTGAGATTTTTCAACAGAGGAATAAGCTAGGATGAAGACATTGAATTGCAGTGGATTAAAGCCTGGCCTTTGCATTTCTGCTGCATGAGAGGGATAGCAGTCCTGGACAAGAAATATAAATAACTTGCTGAAGCCAGATGCTAGATCTCAAGACTCTGGGATTTTGACCTTTTAAAATAAAAAAAAAGGAAGCCAAGAAATTGCATAATGAAATCTGTCTCTGTCACAGCAGTATTTCTGGCTTTTCTCTGTAGCTACAAAGAACAGCTTATATAAATTGTGTATGTGTTGTGTTGTGTTGTGTTCATTAAGACAGGGTCTTGCTATGTAGTAATTTAGGCTGACCTTTAACTCACTATATAGCCTAGACTGTCCCCAAATCCATAGCGATCCTCCTGCCTTAGTTTTCTGAGTGCTGGGATTATGTGTATTTGTGCCTTTGTTGCCATACTGGAAATCAAACCCAGGGCCTTGTACACACTGGGTAGCCAGGTGTTCTACCACCAAACTACACCTTCAACCCCCAAGCACTGTATGTTTAAAGGCATAGGATTCAAGAAAAGGGTGTGTGTTTGTTTTTATGAGATAGGGTCTCTGTGTATTGCCAGGCTGGCTTTGAACTCACTATGTAGCTCAGGCTGATCATGGCAATCCTCCTGCTTTAGCCTCTTGAATGCTGGGATTACAGGTGTGCAGCATTGCACTCAGCTAAATTTATACCTTTTAGTTTAAAAAACACTTTGGTGCTTTGTTTTGGTTTTTTGGTGGAACTGGGGATTGAACTCAGACCCTTGCACTTGCTGAGCCATCTCCCCAGCCCCTATAAAAAACACTTTGTTAACGTTAGACTGTGTCTCAGCCTATAAATACATTGATAGAAATCATGAATGATGTTTACCAAATGTTAATAGTAGTTATTTCTGGGTAGTGAGATTTAGGGTGACAATTAAAATCTTTTTTCTTTTATTATGTATTTGGTACAGGGTCTTACTACACAGCTCTGACATGTAGCAGTCCACCTGTTTTCAGCCTCCCCAGCACTGTGATTACAAGTGGGCACCACCATGCCCAGACTCCATGGCCAGCTCAGTGCATCTGGGGGCGAGCCACCATAGCACCTGGGATCAAACCCTGGTCCCTATGCTTGCCTAAGCAGGCACTTAGTCCACTGAGCTATCTCACCAGCCCTAAAAATTTCTTTTTTACTTACTAAATGTCTTTTTCTAATGAATATGTATAATTTTTTTTTATTTTTTTATTTTTTTAATTTATTTGTGTGTGTGTGTGTGTGTGTGTGTGTGGCCAGCTCAGCCCACCAGGGGGCGGGGCGGGCTGGCATGTGGTGCTGGGGGATTGAACCGCGGTCCCTATGCTTTGCTAAGCTTGTTCTAAGTAGGTGCTTTAGACCACTGAGCCATCTCACCAGCCCGAATATGTATAATTTTAAGAAAACAAACTACATATGCTTATGATCCCAGTGCTTGGGAGGATGGCTGGGAGTTCCAGGTTGGCCTAGGCTACATAGTGAGTTTAAGGCCAGTCTGAGATATAGCAAGACACTGTCTCAAAAAAAAAAAAAAAAAGCTCAGCGGATTAAAGTGCCTGCATGCGGGTGCAATGGGCAGGGGTTCAATCCCCGGGCCTGTCGTGCTGGCCCCACCCCCAGGGCACACTGAGGGGGCAGTTGAGACTGGGTGTAGAAGGTAGGCCATGTACTTATTTTTCTATAAAGTTTTTAAAGATGACTTAAGTAGTCTCATGCTCTTTTACCATGTCAAGACTCTTGATAGTGAAGCTTGGACTTTATACATGTTATTCCTTGCATGTGACTAATGTTCTTTGTCCTCTTTCCTTCCCCTTTTGTCCTGTTTAGCAAAAGATACAGATATTGTGGATGAAGCCATCTATTATTTCAAGGCCAATGTGTTCTTCAAAAACTATGAAATTAAGGTAAATTACAGAGTTTGTAGTGATTTAGTTTTTTTTGTTTTTGTTTTTTGGGTTTTTTTTGTTTTTGTTTTTGTTTTTTTTTTGGCAGAACTGGGGGTTGAACTCAGACTCTTGTGCTTGCCAGGGAAGCTTTTATTCCACTGAGCCATCTCCCCGGCCTGTGATTTAGTTTTTTGATGGAGATATCTACCTTGCAGTCACAGTTGTTATAAGGAGTAAATATAATGAACTGAGATTATAATTTTGAAGTTCCAGAGTATTAATACTCTGTATAAATACTATTTTCCTTTTTCAGACTATATCAGGTCTGAGAGATGAATTTGACCCACTGCCTCATCTTATAAATAAAGTTTTATTGGAACATAGCTATATACATTTGTTTGGTAATTGTTTATGGCTGCTTTCACACAACAATAGCAATAGAATAATTATGACAAGCGCTGTAGCCTAAAATATTTACTACCTAGTCTTCATACAGAAAGCTTGCCAACCCCTTGCCTAGATATATTTTACTTATTCAAATTTAATTAAACATCTATATGCCAATCCTGTGTACAAGACTAGTGCACAAGCAAAGACTCTTACTAGCTCTTTTAATTTTTTTATATATAACTTGAGTTTTGAAAAAATGAAATACTTCCAAATCCTAAACCTTTTAAGTTTCAGATTTTTTTTTTTTTTTTTTTTTTTTTTATATTTTAGGGAAGGGTCTACAGGGTGTTCAGGGTCTCACTGCTAGATCAGACTCATAGTGATCCGCCTGTTTACAGCCTCCCAAGAGCTGGGATTACAGGCACATGCCACCACACCCAGTCTCAATTGCCCTCTCAGCGTGCCCTGGAGGCAGGGCTGGCATGGCAAGCCCAGGGATTGAAACCTCCCCCAGGCCTTTCCGCCTACTTACAGACACTGTAATCTGCTGAGCTATTTGGCCAGCCCTTAAGTTTCAGATTTTGGAGCTTGTTAGATTTTCGACTTTCAAACCAGCCATGTTCAGCTGATAAAGTTTTTGCAGATATTCCAAAATCTGAAATACTTTCAGATAAGGGTTATTCAGCCTGTACTTTTGTGTCACGGGCCTGAGTTGGAGAAGTAGAGAGACTAGGACAGACTTCTGTTAGATGGTAGGGAAACATCCCTGAGCCCTCATCCCCTCCTGCTCTTAGTTTCGGGAAGAGGTAGCGGGGAGTGGGAGAAAAGATGAAGAGAAAATAAAACGCAGTTTCATGACCTGCCATGAGCAGGTTACAAGCAATGGCAAGGATTTGTGTTGGATTTTTTCTGAGACAGAACCTTAATATGTAGCCCAACTTGGCCTTGAACTCATGATTTTCCTTCCTCAGCCTCCGGGGTACTGGGATTACAGGTATATACCACTACCCCTGGCTATAACTTTCTTGCAATAGCCTAAAATATAGCTGGAGATTATAAATATATATATTCTCTCCTTGTCATACTTTTAATTTTTTTGCCTTTATTTTGTGTGTGCCTTTTGAGACAAGATCTTGCTCTGCAGTTAAGGCTGGCCTTGAGCTCACTTTGTAGCCCAGGCTGGTCTCAAACTCAAGGATCCTCCTGCCTCAGCCTCCCAAATGCTGGGATTAGAGGCATGTGCCACCACACCTGGCCTATACTTTACTTGTAGACTCTTTTTTTGGTGGGAAATGGTCAGACAGGGTCTCGCTATGCAGTTTAGGCTGGCCTTGAATCCTCTATGTAGCCCAAGTTGGCCTTGAGCTTGCAGTGACCTTCTTGCCCCAGCCAAATCCGTGTCGCCCCCAGGGCTTGTAGACTCTTGATTAGAGAATGTAATGTAAGCTTTCTGTGGGGTTAACAGCATGTTTTCTATATCTAATGCATGGCCTAAGTATTGTGTTTATAATAGATATAAATATATAGAATTCTGCCACGTTTCATTCTTTCTCCACTATCGTATGTTTCAAATAGGGAAATGTGTAGCTTTTTGGTTGTCTAGAATCGGGCCTGCAGTACATGCAACATTTGACCACCATCTGTTATCTTCAGATTTTCCTTCGGGTTATGTCAAGATGTTGGGCTCCTGGAGTTCTTCAAGAACGTGTCACACATAAAGTAATTGCTTCCTCCTCTTGAGTAATGAGTGTTTCTGTTCTTGGCAGAGACCCTCAAGTGAGAGAGTTCCACACACTAACCTACTGTGTGATGCTCTTCAGGTTTCCCAGCTGTCGTGTTGCTTCTGTGTCCTGCACTGGCAGGGGCTGCTGACAGTGGCAAGGAGGGGCAGAGGAAAACGGGCAGCTGAGCAGCTCGGGGAAGCTGCAGGCTCCCTGACAGAGCCTAGGACACTGTGGCCCTGGTGCTGTGTCAGCGATGTCGGAGTGCCGCACTGTCAGTGTTTACAGTAGATAATCAGAACTCAGAGGCTGAATTCATTCATTCATTGTTGAGTTTCAGTGAGCACTGTTTTTTGTTTCCTTTTCCCCCTGTAGAATGAAGCGGACAGGACTTTGATATATATAACTCTCTACATTTCTGAGTGTCTAAAGAAACTCCAAAAGGTAAATGTAAACTTGATGATTGTTTATTGGAAAAACACTCCAAGCCACCTGTTTTTGTTTGGTCTCATTACGCAGCTCAAACTTGTGATCCTCCTGTCTCAGCCTCCCCAGCTCTGGGACTACAGGCATGCGCCCACACTTGTTCTCAGTAGGTAGCTCATTGAGCCTGAAGGTGGGGCCGGCACCACATGTGATACCAGGAATCAAACCCCTGTCCCTGCACTTGCCTGAGCAAGCACTTAGTCTGCTGAGCTATCTTGCCAGCCCTCACTTGGATTTTTTTGACTTGAAGGGTAAATAGAAAATATTTCCTCTGATGTAGAGCATGATGTTAAGTGAAAATGTGAATGTGGTTTTCAACTCAGAATGGAGTTAACCAACACAAAAACTAGGATAGTGATTTTTCACCCCGTGTTACAGAAAAACCCACAGCCTCCCAGCAAGCGTTCTGTACCTTCCCAGCCCTTTTTCTGTCCAAGTTGTGCAGGCTAGGGGCTGGGAGATAGCTCAGTAGAATAAGTGCAAGCACTAGGTCCTGAGTTCAATCCCCGATACCACAAAAAAAAAAAGTTGTGCAGGCTGACCTCAACTTGCAGTCCTGCCTCAGTCTCCCAAGTAGCAAGAATTGCAGGCATATGCTACCAATTCTGACCAGAAAAAGATGGTGACATTTTAAGGCCTTACATGTATTTTTCAAGACAAAAATCTTGACAAAATTTATGTTGGCTTAGGGATCCAAAGGTAAAATTTAAAGGTTCATGAAGTTGAGTGGGAAAAAACTACATTTTTCTTTCCAGTGTCCTCTAACTAAAATATAGCACTTTTTTAAAATTTAATTTTTGCAGTACCAGGAATCGAACTCAGGACCTTGAGCCAGGCAGGTGCTTATGCTGCTGAACTATTTCCCTGGCCGTTAGCATTTTCTTTTGTTTTGTTTTGTATTTTTTCTTGTTTGAGACAGTATCTGACTATGTAGGGAAGAGTGGCCTCAGACTTACTGCATAGCTCACCTTGTCCTCAGGCCTGCAATCCTTTTGCCTCAGCCTCCGGAGTGCTGAGATTATAGATAGCACCCACCATGCCCCACCAGCAGTAACCTCAACCATGAACACAGGCGTCAGTCCACAGTGGAATTAGCAATGTGTATGATTTTTAAGGAATCCATGGTATGGTGTTATAATATTAGAGTGGAAGATATTTTGAAAATTTTCACACTCATCAGTTCTTCAAGCTTTATTTTTTTATTTATTTTTTTTATTTGTGTGTGTGTGTGTGTGTGTGTGTGGCCAGTTCAGCCCAGCACAGGGGCGGGGCTGGCTGGCATGTGGTGCTGGGGATTGAACCGCGGTCCCTGTGCTTTGCCAAGCTTGTTCTAAGTAGGTGCTTTAGACCACTGAGCCATCTCACCAGCCCTCTTCAAGCTTTAGTTACTGTATCTGTTATTGGGAGTATTTATGAAAACCATGTTTAAAAAAAAAACAAAACTATTGTGTGCCCCGTACCAAAAAAAGATAAGTGACTACGTCATAAATTAGGTTTTCAATATTTTAATTATTATATTTCACCATAATTGGTTTCTCTTGTAATTTTATCTTATTCATTTGAAGCATTGCCTGAGAAAGGACTCATAGGATGAATTTGATTTCAAAAGAACACAAAAAAATTTATATCCTAGCCTTTCAAACTAAAAAGATTATAAGCTAGATATTATTCTTTAGCATTCTTGTTTGTTTGTTTGTTTTTTGGCAGAACCAGGGATTGAACTCAGAACCTTACGCTTGCCAGGCAAGCGCTTATTCTACTGAGCCATCTCTCTGGCCCTAGATATTATTCTTATCCATGTAAAAAATATATTTTGGTTTTTTTGAAGCCAAGGTTCTCCTACGTAGTCTAGGGTGGCTACGTGGCCCCACCTGGCCCTGTACTCATAATCCTCCTGCCTTGGCCTCCCAAGTATATGTGTGTAATTTTTTTTTTCTTTTTTCTTTTTTTTTTTTTTAGTGCAATTCTAAAAGCCAAGGAGAGAAGGAAATGTATACACTGGGCATCACTAATTTTCCCATTCCTGGAGAGCCTGGTTTTCCACTAAATGCCATCTACGCCAAACCTGCAAGCAAACAGGAAGATGGTAAGAACGGGCTATCTGTACCCTCGTCTGGGGCACGAGATGGTTTTCTTCATTCACCGCTCTCACTTTCATAAGCGTTAGTAGCACGCACGGCATGTGGACCAGAACACGTTGCCCATGTGAACTGTCATTGTTGTGTCTTAACTGTGTGAATGTATGAAGACGTTTGTCTGAGGTCACTGTCCCGACCAGCAGCCAGGCCGTTTGGATGAGCTCTCGAGTACAGTATTTTATTGTCTTTTAGAGGTGATGAGAGCCTACCTGCAGCAGCTGAGGCAAGAAACTGGACTGAGACTTTGTGAAAAAGTTTTTGACCCTCAGAATGATAAACCCAGCAAGGTAAGACCTTCTCCTTTGGCTGTTTAATTGCTAATTCATCTTTTTGCCTGTTGGCCACCAGTAAACACACTAAGATCTTCTACTGCAAGAATATTTTTAGCCTGGCATGCTCTTCTGCATGTGTGTGATCCCAGTTTCTCAGGAAGCAGAGGTAAGAGGATTGCCATTTTGAAGACAGGTTAGCTGGACATGCCTGTAATCCCAGCACTTGGGAGGTGAGGTAGGAGGATTGCTATGAAGCCAAGGGGCACCCCGGCTACAGAGTGAGTGCTAGGCCAGCCTGAACTGCATAGTGAAAACCTGTCACAAAAACACAAAAATAAATAAGTAAAAAACATGGAGGCTGTAGTTCAGTGATAGATCACTTACCTAATATGTCTGAGGCCCCGGTCCAATCCCCAGTACTGCAAAGGAAAGGAAAGAAAGAAGGAAATTTAGTTTCTGCATCTGACTGTTGATGTGCTTAGCGGGTCCTAACTCACTAGATCCCACTGAATAAAGAATTGCATCTAGGAAGGAAAGTTTAGTGGTTGTCTTCATTACATTCTTATGTTGGAGCATTGTGAACCCAGAGCAGAGGTTTTCTGTAGATATTGTGGGTACACTGTACAGTCACCTTCAGTGGCCATTGGGCCCTAAATCTGGAAGCCCAGGGCCTGGGAAGATAAAGTGCTTGCCTGGCAAGCGCAGGGTCCTGAGTTTGCTCCTCATACCCCTCCCAAAAAAAAAAAAAAAAAATCTGGAAGCCCACCCTTTACCTCGAGTGGCATAGCATTTGGGAGTACCCTGCACACATCTTCCTCTGTGCTTTAACTCCTCTTGGGGCTCTCAGACCACCTACTGCAATATAAGTGCTGTGTGGTACTGAAAGAGGAGGGGAAAAGAACCTGTGCTGCTGTTGGGCAACGGTGACAGGCGGAGGCGGCTCTTCATGTTGAGTGAGGCTGCAGGCTTTCCCACGTATTCTCTATCCACCACGGGTTCTCTCCGGAGATGCAGAACCCGTGGATACAGAGAGCTGACTATGAAACATTTATGTACTTTATTCATAATTTTGGATTTTTTTGTTTTTTAGTATTTTAGTTTTTTGAGACAAGATCTCAGTATGTAGTCCAGGTTAGCCTTGAATTCATGCCAGTCCTCCTGCCTCAGCCTCCCAAGTGCTGCGATTACAGGTGTGCACCATCACGCCCAACCTCCTAATTTTTAGTAACCTGTGCATCTACCTATATGTGCTTCTGAGGGGTTTATAGTCTCTTATAAGAGAATTTGGGCTGGTTTTAAGTTTTATTATTAAATTAATTTGAATTCTGCTGGGTGCAGTGGTGCATGCCTTTAATCTCGGCATCCTAAGAGGCTGAAGCAAGTGGATTATTTGGCCCCTGCCTGGGCACTGTAGCAACTCAGCAAGACCCTGTCTCAAAGTAAAAAATAAAACAGCTTGGGGATGTAGCTTAGGGTGAAGGTACTGATTTCAACCCCCCACTACTTAAATATTAAGTGCAGGATTTGAATTTTCACTTGCCCTGAAGCTGCACTGTGACCTGATTCCTCTGTGGTTCCATTTTGTCCCCCTTCTGGCAGTGGTGGACCTGCTTTGTGAAGAGACAGTTCATGAACAAGAGTCTGTCGGGACCTGGGCAGTGAGGATCAACGGCAGCCATCTCCAGAGACAGGTGGCACTGCTCAGCACCGTGTGCACAGGCCTGCGTAGTGTCGCATTGGGTTTCACAAGAGAAACAAAAAGGAAGCCTATTTGCCTGCAAAGCTCTTGGTCATGTTTGGGTATGGGAGGGGAAAGGGGGTTATTCATGGGTGAATCAAAAATTTCTACAGTATTAAGCTGGTGCTTAAGAATAATAACTAATAAATTTCTAATAACTTCATTGCTTACCTTTTTTTTTTTTTGCTTATCTCTTTTCAATGAAAAAAATTTAGCTACAATTTACACACCATAGTATGTATACAGTTAAACTTTGTAGTATAAAGTTTTGCAATTATGACCATTATCTGTGTAATTCCAGAATACTTTCATCAGCCCCAAAAGAAGCTCATGTAGTTGGCTGGGTGTGGTGGTGCACACCTGTGATCCTAGCCCTCGGGAGGCTGAGGCAGGAGGATCACAGTAAGTTCGAAGCCAGCCTGGGCTACACAGTGAGACCCTATCTCAAAAAAACAAAGATGTTCGTGCACCCCCAGTCACATCTCCTCATCTCCCCTGCTTCCCTTCCTGCCCATCCCCCCAGGTATGACACAACCTTACGTAACTTCTTTCATTTAAAACACTTTTAAAATTCACTCTTACCATAGCATGGATTAGCACTTTTTTCTTTTTCTGATTTTTGGTTGTGTATATGAGATAAAATATATATAACACAAGATGAGGGGTAGTTAACCGTTTTTCCTTTGTGCCAAGTTCCATGCAGAGGGCAGGGGCTCAGTTTGGGCAGCTCCCTCAGGTGCTCCCCTGGCACGGCTGCATCTCCAGCCTGTTCTCAAGGAGACTGAGGGCCTGATTGGCCTTGCAGACCCTGAGCGGCTCTGTGGCGCCCCGGTACAGGTAGAGCTGCACATCTCGGGTTGCGTCCTGTACACACACAGGTGCCTGGTGAGGTGCCTGTGGCGGCAGCCGTGCCTCAGGTTGCTCATGTTCCTGGTCACCTTGTGGCACTTGGTGAGCTTCATGGCTTCTCATCAGTGGCTGCTACAGCAACTGCAATATGGGTAACTCAGAGGCATTAGTTACATTCACAGGGCCGTGCTCATTCTCCAAAACTTTTATTTTACAAATTAGAAACTAGTAGGGCTATTGCTGTGAGTTTGAGGCCAACCTGGGCTATATGAGTATGTCCAGGGCCAGTCTTGCAGTACATAGCAAAACTGTGGGGGAAAAAAAAAGAGAGAGAAAGAAAGAAAGAAAAATAAGCATTAAACTTGCAGTAACCAGGGCTGGGGAGATAGCTCGGTGGTCTAAGCACCAACCAGCCCAGCAAGTACAAGCAGCCGGGTTCAATCCATGGTACCATATGCCATGCTGGCCCTGGAAACCTGAGCACACGCCTGTAATCCTAGTGCTTGGGAGGCTGAGACAGGAGGATCACTATGAGTCGGAGCTCCTGTAGTAAGACCCTATATCAAATAACTAAATAAAAGATTTTTTAAAATCTATAGTAAGCTATATTCTCGGTCTCTGAATTTGCCTGTTTGGGTAATACAGAAGTAAAATCAAACACTATCCTTTTGCACCTAGTTATTTATTCATTTACTTATTTTAATACTGGGAATCAAACTCAGGCCCTTGTGCTTCCCAGGCAGGTGCTGTGCCACTGAGCTATCTCCCTGGCCCTGCCCCTGTTCCTTTCACTTAGCATACTGTCTAAAACTTACCCATGTTGGCTGGGCTTGTTGGTGCCTGTAATCCTAGCACTGGGAAAGCTGAGGCTGAGGCAGGTTCGAAGTCAGCCTGGGCTGCACAGTGAGTTCAGTACCACCCTGAACTACATAATGAAACCCTGTTTCAAAAAGACAAAAAACGAGGGCAGGCCAAATAGCAGATTAAAGCACCTGCAAGCAGGTGCAGGGGCCAGGGGTTCAATCCCCAGGCCTGCTGTGTTGGCCCCGCTCCCAGGACGTGCTCGAGACAGTGATTGAGACTAGGCGTCATGGTGCACACCTGTAATCCCAGCACTTGGGAGGTTGTAAACAGGCAGATCAGTATGAGTCTGATCTAATAGACCCTGAATACCCTGTAGATACTTCCCTAAAATACAGAAAATAAATAAATAAAATATTTTTTAAAAAAGGAAAAAAACAAGCACAAAAAAGACTTAAGCATGTTGTAGCACACAGCAGCCTTTCCGTTTTATGGCTCTAATATTCCATTGTGTGGGTGGACGCCCCTGTGTTTATTCATGGACATTTGCCTTATTTCCATTTTCTGGCTGTTACTCATAGTGCTGCTAAGAACATTCATGCAGGGTTTTATGTGACCATGTTTCCGTTTCTCCTGGCTCTGCCACTCAGCATGCAGTTGCTGAGTGCTGCAGCAATTCTCTTTAACTTTCTGAAGTGCCACACTCTCCCCTATTTCCATTCCCACCAGCAGTGTGGCAGACCTGTTTTCCCCATGTCCGTACCCATATCTGTTCTTTTTCTGTCCTAATAGATGTGAAGTAGAATCTCATTGTGGTTTTCATATGTATTGCTCTAATAAGTGTTGAGCATCTTTTTTTTTTTAATGGATATTGGCTACTTACCCATCTTTTCTAGAGAAATGCTTATTCAAATGTTTTTGGTTGTTTTTAAGACAGGGGCCGAGACCTGGGCTTAGACTTGTGGTCCTCCTGCCTAAACCTCCCAGAGTGCTGGGATCTCAGGTGTGCCACTATGCCTGGCTAGTTTTGTTTTTGTTTTTGTTTCTGTGTTTCAAGACAAGGTTTTGCTGTGTAGTTCAGGCAGCCTGGAACTCAATATATAGTCCAAGCTGGTCTTGAACTCACAGTGATCCACCTGGCTCGGCCTCCCAAGTGGTGGGGTTATTAGCATACCTGGCCTTTTGCTATCACGCCTGGCCATAGGGCTGGCTTTGTCCATTTTTTACTTGGCTTATTTGTCTTCTGTTGTTGAACTGTAGGAGTTCTTTATATATTCTGAATACTAGGTCCTTGTCAGATACATAACTTACAAAATTGTTACTTTTTGTGGGGTTTTTTGTTTTGTTTTTGTGGTTCCAGGTATCAAACTCAGGATCTTGTGCTTGCCAGGAAGGTGCTTATACCACTGAGCTATCCTCCTGGCCCATACTGTGTGTGTATGTGTGTGTGCATGCGTGCATGTGTGCGTGTGTGTGTACGTGCGTGTGTGTGTATTTAACTTTTTTGAACATGTCTTTTTAAGTACAAAAGTTTAATTTTAGTAAAGTCTCATGTAGTTCATTCTTTAGTTGCTTATGCTGAGTTACAGTTGCATTTAGTGTTTGTTACTTTTAGCTTTCATATTTAAGTCTTTGATACATTTTTTAGCTAATTTTTGTATATAAAAATAGAGGTCTAGCCTTTTTAAAATCTATGAAATTAGGGGCTGGGGAGATAGCTCAGTGGAATAAGTGCTTCCCTGGCAAGTGCAAGGGCCTGAGTTCAATCCCCAGTTCCGCCACCCCCCCAAAAAAATCTATGAAATTGTAGGGGTTTTTGCACATAGCTCCCACCTCCCCACACCCCCAGTTGCTTGTCTCTGTGTGTGGCTATGCACTTGTCTCAGGACCGTCGTCGGACTATTCCCATGGAATCGTGTTGTTTCCTTAGTGGGAATCCACTGCCATCACACTAGGCCTTTATTCAGCAGTAGAGCCCATATCTAGGGTGCACAAACCCCTGGGTTTGGTCTTTGGAAAAAAGAGAAAAGCAGTTGTTCATAAATGTGTGGGTTTGCTTCTGGTGCCTCCAGGCTGTCCACCTTTATGTGACAACATTTTTATACTTGGCCAGTTTTTATTATTCAAAATGTTTTAATTATTTGGCTGATAAAAGTAGCTATGATTTGAGTTGGGTTTTGTTGTTGTTGTTGTTCTGTTCTGTTTTTCTGAGACAGCGTCTCCCTGTGCGTCTTCCAGGTTGGCTTTGAGCTCACTGTGTAGCCGAGGCTGGTCTCAAACTCGCAATGATCCTCCTGCCTCAGCTTCCCAAGTGCTGGGATTACAGGGGTGCGCCACCAAGCTTGGCTTTGAGTTCTTCCAAAAATGTATGGGAGCATGCCAAGTTAATATAGCTGAGATGCTGGAGAAAGCATCCTGGATCCTCTGGCCAAGCACCCTTGGGCTGTTGTTTCAGTGTCTCTCAGTGTAATATTTGCCCCCAAGTACAAAGAACACAGTTCATAGTGCCTTAGGCTTTTGTCTTTCTTCAGAATTAGGAAGCAGTTGCAGGATGAAGACATTTAAGGACATCCTGGAGCCGCTCCTGGCTTCCTGTTCAACCTCACTTTGCACATGTGACTGTCATCCAGGTCTCCAGGTGGCTGCTGTCTCATCTCCAGCTTTGGCAGGAATCAGGGAAGTAGAACAAGCTGAAGGGACCCAGCTGGGGACACCTTTTCCTTGCTGAAAATCCTGCCTGGAGTCGTGGCCTCGAGTCTCTTGCGCCTCCAGCAACAAGGCTTTGGAAGGGTAACGCTGGGCTGTCACTGACCTCTCCTAATGGATGAGGGGGTGGGGTGGGGTGGGTGGGGGACTACACTGAAACTGTGTTAAAACTGGAGCTTTACAATGTTCTGGGGAGCCACAAACCATTTCTTTTTTGGTTTGGGGGATGCACACATGATTTGATGCATGAGTTCACTGAAGGCTTGAATCAGACTGGGTAGTTGAGTAAACCACGTTCCACATACCTGAAGCACAGATAGGAAAAACTCTCCCGCTCTGGGGGCTACATGTGCAGCTCAGTAGTAGAGCTGATGCTTAGCATACTTGAGGCCTGAGGTTCAATTCTCAGCATCAGAAGGAAAGAAAGAAAAAAAGAAAAGAGAAAAGGAAAGGAAACTTACTGATACTATATGACAGGACAGTCTTAAAGCTAGAGGAGTCAGGCAGGACTGGTGGTCCACAGCTTCATCCCAGATGGCTCAGTAGAACAAGCGTTTCCCTGGCAAGCGCAAGGCCCTGAGTTCATCCCCTGGTTCCGCCAAAAAAAAAATAAATAAATAAAATAAAATAAAATAAACATACTTCTAATGTTCTTAACCATTTTCTAGACTCATAAATCTATGTAATTTTAAGAACATACATATACTGTACAGTATTGCAAAATCCCGCTATATAGAGAAAAATCTGCAATAAATAATTTAAATTAATATTTTTTGAGGGGCTGGGGAGATAGCTCAGTG